AAAATTTTATGATTTTGGTATGGGGCCTTGCTATGCAGTTCACACTTGTAGTGATCCTTCTGTCTCAGCCTCCCTAGGGCTGGGATTACAGGCACTGCCACACCTGGTCTCAGTGGCTGGCTCGGCGCGCCCAGGGCGGGGACAGCACAGCACATTTGCCAGACAGGTGCTTAGACCACTGAGCTTTCTCCCCAACACTGTCATCATATTTAGATGCATCCACTTCATCTGCAATCAGACAGGTGTTTGCAGTAAATACAGGAAAGCTAAGGCCACCCCAATACTCCTCCTGCTGTGAACTTTCCATTCCTCCAAAATTCTTTTAGAGATATTCTTAGAGAAATGTTCTTCTGGAGAATATTCTGGATGGAATTTAATTAAGTAAAATAGAAGGGCACATGAAACAAAAGGAGGAAAAATAATATATTCCATATGCAATAACAGCATGTGAAAAGCCACCATGTCAGGAATATTGTGGAAGTGTATGAGCTGCCAATATTTCAGGTTAAAAAAAGAATTCACAACTTAAGCATACCATAATTTGTTGACTTAAGAAAAGGCATCTAGGGGCTGAGGATATATGGCTGAGTAGAATAAGCATTTGCCTGGCAAGCGCAAGGGCCTGAATTCAGTCCCCAGTTCTGCCACACACACACACACACACACACACACACACACACACAAATTAGTGAAAGAAATGCTAGTTGGATGTCTTGGTTTACAAGAAATCAAGAAAATAATTATGTTTTACAAAGATATAATTCAGGTATGTATTTTTCAAATAAAAGATAAGAATCTATTTATATACACATGATACTGCTTATCTTTTGGAAAACAACAAGAATAACCAAAGATGTTACTGGATTTTGGGAAGGGAAGTTGGGAGAGAAAAGAAAATTATTTGTACATTTAGGAAAAAAAAAAAAAAGTAAGAACCGGCTACTTACATTAAAAATGAATTGCCCTGTTTCCAGAATCCTCTACAACAATACTCAGTGTCAGAAAATAGTAGAGTCACTCAAAACCCTTAAAAAGAAGTGTGTACCATGCAGGGATCCTTTGCTGTCTTAGACTAGGGCTCCTCAGTGCAGAACAGAGACAAGTTCAATGAAATATACGTATTAGTTTCCCATAGCTGTAATGATTTTCCAGAACTTAATGGGTTAAAGTAACAAAGATTTATTCTCTCATAACCCTGGAAGCCAGAATACAAAATCAAGGTGTTAGCTGGCTCAAGTTCCCTCTAGAGGGTTTCTGTGGGTAACCTGTTCTTTTACCTCTTCCAGCTTCTGGTGGGTGCCACCATTCCTTGGCTTGTAGCTACCTGATCCCAGTCTCTGCTTCTGTAGACACAATGCCTCCTCTTCTCTATACACTCTCTTTCTGAATGTCTCTTGTGAGGACACACGGATGGACCAGACCATCCACCACAAACAGTGGATCTCAAGCTCCTTAATTTAATCACATCAGCAAATACCCTTTGCCCAGATAGGGACATTATCCGAACTCAATGCAAACTAAGTTGAAAACTGGTATGAAACAAGTCCCATGAATAAACCACCAAGTCACCTCCTTTAACTAACAAAAGGAGGACAACCCATTTGGGGCCCCTCCTGCCTCTCAGGCCCCTCCTGCCTCTCAGGTGCAGTTCCTATTCCCCAATAAATTCTCTCTCTCTCATTCATTCTCTCTCTCTCTCTCTCTCTCTCTCTCTCTCTCTCTCTCTC